AAGTCAGAATTCGGACTTTTTTCCCACACCAAACTGAAATAAAATTTAAAAATCAGTTAACTTTTTTTTTTTTTCACAGCAGAGCAAGTGCTAATCCGTTGAGCTCATTATTTTTCCTTAGGTTGTTATGTGATGCAATAACAGGAAACAGCACTAAGCATAAAATCGCCACTGCGATGCATAAGTTGAAAGCGAATTTGATCACTATTTAGTTATGTCAACTGTTCCTGTAAAAGTCCTGCAGAGCTAAACATACCAACTATGCTCTGAAGCAGGTGCTCAGTTGTAGCTAATATGTCCAACTCTTTTAAATTAGAACTTAACGAGGCATAAATTTCTAAAACAACTCTGAGCCTATTCTTTAAATTCATGTAACTCCTCTTTAAACCTCTGCTATCAGGCTATACTGCCAACCCACCCTAAGACACTTATAATAATGAAATACAATGATTTATTAATTGGACTGTGGGTCTAATTACATTACATTTCCTGTGTTCCTTCTTTCCCTTTCATTTCAGAGGGAGAAAATCTCATTAAACAGGAAGTTTTACATCATTGTTACCTCACAGCAGTCACCAGGGAAACACTTAACTGGAAGCACAGAGTGAAATGAGATCATCTTAAAAAAAAAAAAGCTATAGATTGTGAGGTATGAAAACAAACTAATATTCATGCAGCACTCCTAATAGACAGAAATATACTTCAATTTATGACATTATAAAATTCATCGCTTTATATCTGTACCCTGATCATCAGGTTGGTGGGTGTGAAGCGGTGGTGCTGGCTGGAGTTGGGATCAAAGCTCCTTTCCCTGTGCAAGAGAACTGCTGGCTTCAGGACGTAGCCACAGCCGCCGTTGTCTAGGAAACGACCGTTATTAAGGTCCATAGGCAGGCCCAGAGTTTGGAAATTGAGAGCCACTGCAAAACACCATGGGACAGTATGAGAACAATGAGAATAAAGACCAAAAGCAACAGGGTAGGGAGGAAAAAAAGAGCAGAAAGCGTGTGCTCTAAGCTTGTTGGGAAAAGAAGGCGGCTTTAAGAGGATCTCTGCTTTTCTCCAAGTTTCAAAAGATGATTTTTTTTACACCAAAGAGGAGAATTAAATAATAGAAGAACTTGAAATGTGTCTGCAGCCAAGATTGCATTAAGGAGACAGTAGGTGTCTGTGTAATGGGGAAATTTCTGCACTGGAAACCTTTTTCAGGAGCGTGTCCACAGCATATAGGCTGTCCTCCAGGGACACGTCCACATTCTGTGACCTTACCGTCACAAACTGCACATTTCACTTGGATTTATGTAAAAAGTCAATGCTTTACAGTCGTGTTTACAGCTGGACGACCTTTCTGATACATCTCTACCAATTTTACATATCTAGACAGTGATTGTTGGATGTTTTTTGTTTGAAAATTATCGTCAGCTCAACTGAAAGAAGCGTACCTGTGAACAGCAGATTTGAAACCTTGCCAAAGTTTAACTCTAGGCTCTAACAGGCCCATCCTAACACATACTTAGGTCTAAATTATTTTATAACAGTTCCAAAAGAGTAAAAAAAAACAATACACTGGACTTTGTTTCCAAGTTCGAAGACATTTTGCTTCCCATCCACAAAGATTTTTCAATTCA